AAACCCTACCTGAGCATGCCTCACCAAGAATTCAAAGATGGGCTATCACACTAACTGCATACAATTATGAATTGAAATACAAACCTGGATCTGAGAATTGTGCAGATAGTCTTAGTAGATTACCTTTAAAAAACCAAAGCCTGAGCTATGTACCAGAAGATGTATTTGTTCTCTTCACTATCATGGATAACTCCAATATAAATGTGAATGATATTAAAAGAGAAACACAAAAAGATGAGTGCTTAATAAAAGTATATGAGTACTGTAAGAATGGTTGGCCTGAAGAGTCTGTGAATGATGACTTAAGGCCATATTAAATAAGAAATAAAAACCTTTGTGAAGATAATATAAAAGATGGAGAAGATGCAGTCCATTATCAGTCAGAGCTACCTAAACAAAGTATTTGTAACTTAATAAATGATTATGGTGATATGGCAATTTCAAATGCTTTAAGTAAGAAGGAATGTGATCATCAAACAACTTTGCTAACATCATTAGCACTTACAGAAACTAAAAGGGTAACATCAAAAGAAAAGAGAAAAAGATTTTTGCCATTTAATACTTTCAGATGCCAATTCAAAAAGTCAATCATGACAGAACACCCATTGAAAGAGAATTTGGTATTAATGATAATGTGTATCTAAGAAATTATGGGAGAAAGGAAAAATGGATACCAGGTCAAATTGTTCAATGTACAGGACCTGTGTCTTATAAAGTAAAAATAACTTGTGCAGATAATAAGTGTGAATCTATCAATCCCACCAAATCTGAACAGTTCACACCAACTCAGTTTGTTCCACAACCAAGTTCTGTTGATATGAGTGAACCAAGTTGTCTGGAGTCAGAAAATGTAAATTCTGGAGTTAATGATTTAAATCCTAGACCTCCTGAGATAGAGAATCCAGATGGTCAGAATCTTGAGTCACCAAATCAAAAGCCACTGAGAAGGTCAAGCAGGACAATCAAAGTCCCAAATAAGTTAGACCTATGATTTTAAAGGTCAAAAAGGACTTTGACATTATTGTTTTGTATTTTGATTATGTTGTAGCATATTGTGCATTGTTTGTAAGGATGTAATCTACCATAGTGTTCATGTTACAATATAATTGGTGATTTTAGGATACTATCAATTGTTCTATTGAGAGATGTGTTATTGTGTTCTAAGGGTAAAGGGATGTAATAGATTGAGTTAATTGTGAGGTCAAGGGAACTCACTCTCTGTATTAGTATTATATTTATATTGTTATCTTGAGTGATGTCCCTTACATGTTGTTATCTATAAATAGTTCTCTCTCGCCATTTCTCTCTCTCTCTTTGCATGATGGCGTCTGTACATAATAAAGACTGTTAACAACCAACGCGGCTTCTCGTCAGTCATTACAATCCACTTCAATTGCCATGAAAACTTTGCACCTCAAATCTGATTTTGAAGTGGGGGAGGGGGGGGGGGGGGGGGAAAGAGGGGGGGAAGCTGTGTTGTGTGCTGTCTGGAGAAAGAGGTGGTGAGTTAGTAAAAGACTGGGTAAAATTGAGATGGGGCAATTATTTTAGAGAATCAGTTTTAACAAAAAAAAATTTCTTCTTTTTGGTTCAACCTAAAATTATGTTCATGGGAGGGGGATGTATAAAAGTGGTAATGCTTTGGGGTGGTGTGATGTAGTTGGACAGGATTTAGCCCCAAATATGTAGCTTATATAACTGTTGTCTGGCCCATATTATTATTAATGTTAGTAGTCTTAAGTGTGAGACAACCCAACCATCTCCCCTTTAGATATTGTATGTAGCTTTCTTTAACATCTAATTATACTGAAAATATATATGATAGTGTTGTCAGTGGAAATGAATTTATTGGGTTAGTTTAGACAAAACTGCAGCATTAGAAGTGGGTCAGGTGTTGAATACCAGATTTGACTAAAAAAATGTAAAAATAAATATTGCTATGTTATAAACAGTGATTAAAGAATGAAAAGGTTTTTTAATTGTTCTAAATATTTAAAACTTATTATTAATTAATAGATAAATTTTTATCATCAAGATGAGTTTTTTGCAGTTTCAGTCACTAAAAACCTACCTACATAAAGACATACAAAATTTTTTCAAAAGCAGCTCATTACTGAAATTGGGTCAAACACTTTCATTTATATTTAATGTATCTAATCAACTATTATTAGTATTTTAAAGACGAAGCTATTGTTTACCTTGGTTAATGACTTCATTGGTTGGTCTATAATTTATATGCTTAAAAACTATTGTAAAAATTGGTTAATTGGTACATTTTACTGCTAATAATTTAAAGATCCAAATTGTTTACACAAGTTAAGATTTTAAACATTTCTCAATTTTATAAAAACTCAGCTATTCATTAGAATATTTTGAAATATTTGACTTAACTCTATGTTACTATATGATTTGGTGAAGCCATGTTGTGAGATTATATTGTTGATATTATGGGTTATTTGACTTCACTTCATTGAGAAGTGAATTTTTGTAACTTGAACTAGTGTGATTGTCCTACGGCTACATTTTTAAAAATTCAATTATCATTTATTATTAACCAATTATCAGTTATTATATAACAGGATTAACTTGTCTTATATAACTAGATTAAGATAGGCATAGACTGTTGCCAATATTTGTTACTTTGGAAATTGATGAAAAAATTGAATGTTGGCAGCAGGATCTGTTTTATACCATATCTAGAACTAAAAAGTCCAAGTCAAAAATTATTAAATAAACATTCTTAACAATAAAATGAAAACAATTTTGATCAAAAATTCAAAGCTTAGAATTTACCAATTTACTTTTTGGCATCATGAATCATCATGGCATCATACTATCCTTAATTCATATGATTAGTTCATATTTATTAGGCCTATGTAGTATTCTTAGTATTTATTTAGCTAATAAGTAGATTTACGTATTACACAGTAGCGTACGCAGGGGGGGAGCAGGGGGAGCGGCCGCTCCCCCTCTGGCCATTTTCAGCAAAGTGGCGCCTTTTTGGAAACTTTTTAAAATCAAAGTTTTAAACAATGATATTTGTTAAAAAAAATATTTTTGGTCGGCACAGCTATGTAAATCACAAGATTTCTTTTCATGCAGCAATTAAGCATTATTGTACTAGTCTAGTAGTGTCTACGTTTACAACACGTATTAACAGCTGCGTCAGTTTGCCATTCTAAAAATAACCATTACGATGCATTGCAATGTTTAATAAACCTCTACGGGTAGTACCACTTGGCAAGAGGGGTGTTAAGTTTAAGGCAACTGTATAATGTATTTGCTTACGAATAATTGAATTGGAAAATGTTATACATAAAACTTCACACTTGATTACTTTATATATACAGTTTGAATCGTGTGTTTAACTTTTTTTTAAAATTACAATACAGAAACAAATACAACGGATGTGGCACCTCTAATTTAAATTTACTTATGAGCAAACTGCGTAGTGGTGGGGACATTTTGAGAAGGTCAACAACCTCATCACGATGAAGTAGTAGTATTCTTACAGTTTGGGCGATAGTGATTACGATTACAAATTATATGAAACAGTTACAACCCCCCTCCTCCATGTAAAAACAAATATTGTCATTATACCACTGCTACTTATTTAAATCTATTTCTGTAATATTTATTTGTGTAATATACATTTGTGTAATATATAATATGTATGTTTAGAACAGTCATCTAAATACTGACGCTATGTTCACTCTGAGTTGGTTATCTCTCCCCCCCCCCCCCCCCACACACACCTCACCACCACAATTGTGTAGAGCGACATTAATGTCACACCTAGGTATACATTGGGTTGGATAATTGACCTAAAGTGACCGCACAGTGGTGAATGAAGTTGAACCCACCCCCTCCCCCCCCCCCCAACACACCCTGAACTGATCTGTTAAGTGCATGTAGAAAAACGCGTAATGATGTACCAACGTTTATGCTGCCAGAAAATTAGCTTTTTAAACGTAAAACTCTGTGAATATTGTTTTTGCAATTACCAGTAAAAAGGTGTGTGATCAATACTTTCAATTTATTTTACATCATAGCGAAGTAATGACATACAGCTAGTACTTATATATATATATATATATATATATATATATATATATATATATATATATATATATATATATATATATAATACACGTATATAGTACGTGTTAAAAATTCGGCGCCTTTTTTGCTCTTTTCGCTCCCCCTTCAACGAAAACCTGGATACGCCTCTGGTATTACACTATATGCCGCCCTATATACTACTATGGCTATTAGCCATAATAGTATTAGGGTAATATAGGCCTATTATAGTATTATAGGTTCTAGCCCTAGATCTTTTATTTATAATAATTTAGATCTAGTTATTAATAATAGTGACAGTAATGTGATATGAATAGGCCTAATCTGCAATTAATTTGACTTTCTAAACTTTCTTATTGAAGTCTTAGTCTTATTCTAATAATTTTAATTCTTAACCAGAAATGTCTGAACTGAATACTTTGAGTCAGCCTGTCAGGTGTCTAGACTCTAGAAATATCTAGACTCTTGATCTAATAATTAATAATTCTATTTATTTAGATCTACTACTTTTATCTATTCTCAAATCTCAACTAGTCTAGATCTAATCTAGATCTAGATCTATTCTGAGTCTGGAAGTAAGTCGGGAGAAGTTTAAATCTAGAATCTAGATCTAGATCTGAAAAATGAAGTGGAATCGATTCTAATATATTAGTAATTAACCGACTCAAACAAAAGTACTAGATTTTTTCTAGATTCTAGATCTAGATCTAAATCTAGATTCTAGATCTAGACTTATCACTCATGTCATAAATAAGTGATCCAAAATCAAAGTTCAAAGCCAAGTCTAAGCAGATTCGAATTTAATTACAATTAAATATGACTGATAATCAAGGTGGAATGTGGGGGTTTACGTTTATTTGAAAATTAAGACATGGATTTCTGAGAATGTTACAAAAGCAAATATTAAATGCAATGATTACTAGATTGATTGGTTTTTCGCCGTGCCAACCGTCTACGTGGTCGTGGTGATGGTTAGCCATATTGACGCTGTTGTTACTTTGTTGTCAGAGTAGCCTCTCTTTGATCACTTTCGGTTTATTTTTTAACGAAATAAACTAACTGTAAATAATACCTGAACTCGAGATCTAGATTTGCACAAATTTATGAATATGCAAACAGTGTTTTGTAAATGTGCCTACCTGTTCAAAAATTAAAAAGAAGGTAGCAGAGATGCAACCGCTACATGGGAGGTGTAGACTTGTTGGGTGTAGTCATGGCAAGACACAAACTTGTGCTCAAAAGCAAAAAGCTGCATATGAGTATGAGTCTAATATGACTGAAATAAGGCTTTGGTCAGCTCCTATATTTTGTTAAAAATAATAGCATGACAGAAGCAAACTATTGAAAATAAAATGAAAATTGATTTCCAGAAACCTATCAAACGTGGGCGGCCAAGCCAGGATTCACTTGAGGATCTGATTAAAAGTAAAAAAAAAAAAAATGTAGAATGCACATCATGCACCACTACGAAGTCTCCTGAACCAGAGTGGATACTGGATTTCAGTGGCGTAGCCAGGATCGTCTCAAGGGGGGGGGGGGGTCCAATTTTTACCCGGGGACAAACTTTCGAATTGCATCCCCCATCATACTTATATATATATATATATATATATATATATATATATATATATATATATATATATATATATATATACCGAGGGGTCTATGGACCACGCCGACCCCTTAACAAGCAGTGTTTCTTCCAGACTTTTTTCTCCGGGGGGGGGGGGGCACTTGATAAAAGTAAAAGTATATTTTTACTATATGAATTCCATCTCGTTCGGTTCGGGGGGGGGGGGGGGGGGGTTGTAGACTTTCTTTGGGGTAGGGGTGGGGGGGGGGGGGTGGCGGAGCACTCCCGAAGAGATGCCTGAAAGAAACTCTGTTGACAAGTGCAACGTACATCTTTGTTGTAACAGCTGTCTTAAAAAGTATAACCTCATGATGTTGCTGACATGCAAAAATTAGTTTTTTAAATAAAAGTACATGTGTAAATTAAAAATTGATTTTTTTTTCTTCACAGTATTCTGCATATACCCAACAAAACAATTATAAGTACGTTTTTTTCATTGGTCACTAAGTTAAGATTCGTGTTTGGTATAGTTGTTCAATGGCTTAAGTGGTCACTTATGTGAGGTTCTGGTGTGGTCACTGACTCGGTGTCTCTGTTAACCACTATGGCTCTACCGGCCACCACCATGAGACCTAGTCTGACCAATCACAAAATGCCTCTAATGGATACTGACTTTAGGGAGTCACTGCCTCTAGAACTTTGGACTGATGACTGGCTAAACTATCCTGGTACTGTCACTAGCTTTAAAAATGTGGTCTTGAAACTATCTCAAAGACTAATTAGGCCTGGACATTGACATAAAGACTGGCTTTATAAAATAAGTCATAGGTGTTGCTTGAATGCACGTATAACTTTTAATTTCAACATTTTTTCCAAATCACAAACGCATTAAGTGTGTACTCTAAACCAGGGATTCCCAACCTTTTTTTTACTCTAGAGCACATTCTAAAATATCGGTAGGGTGGCGGGCACCACCTATTTTAAATCGACAAATTCGTTCCAGAGGCGTAGCGACCCTTCCCGTCACCCGGGGACAAAACTTTCGATTTGCACCCCCCCCCCCCCCCTCAAACTTTCGATTTGCAACCCTCCCCCTCAAACTTTCGATTTCCATCCCCTTCAACCTTTCAATAATGTTTATGAAAAAAATTCTGTCTCTGTCGAATAGTGAGAGGCGGGCACATAGGAATCGTTCGGCGGGCGCCGTGGCGCCCGCGGGCACGGGGTTGGGAACCCCTGCTCTAAACTGTTCTCTAGTTTGTTTTCTTCGTAAGCCGAGACCCAAAATGACGTAATACAAATAGATACAGCGACATAATTCTTTATTTTAGCAACACATTTTAGCAAGTTTTTTTCACCCCCCCCCCCCACATGAAGAAAGTTTACCGGCACCCATTCCCCCCTCCCCCCCCCCCCCCTCGAACGAAATGGAATTTTATATAAAAAACATACTTTTACTAGTGTCCGCCCCCCACCCCCCGGAGAAAAAAGTTTGGAAGAAACAATACATTCCAGTCATGGGAATATTTGTGAATGGATCTTGGTCAGTCGTTTATGTAAACGTCTGAACATCATCGTTGTGTTGCTGTATTTGAGGTGGATTGGAGTGGTTCTATTATAACACACTGACGAGAAGCCATGCTGTTTGTATATAGATTTTATTGGGCCTTCGGCTACATGATGGAAGACCGGAACAGGAAGTAACAATAGATAAATACAAGGGACATCACTCAATAACAACATTATAAATATAACTAATACAAGAAGAGTGAGTTCCCCTGACCTCACAAATCCCAATATATTACATCCCTTTACCCTTAGTAAACACAACACATCTCTCAATAGAACAATTGACAGCATCTTAAAATCACCAATTATATTGTAACATGAACATTATGGTAGATTACATCCTTACAAACAATGCACAATATGCCACAACATAATCAAGATACAAAACAATGATGTCAAAGTCCTTTTGACCTTTAAAATCATAGGTCTAACTTATCTGGGACTTTGATTGTCCTGTTTGACCTTCTCAGTGGCTTTTGATTTGGTGACTCAAGATTCTGACCATATGGATTCTCTATCTCAGGAGGTCTAGGATTTAAATCATTAACTCCAGAATTTACATTTTCTGACTCCAGACAACTTGGTTCACTCATATCAACAGAACTTGGTTGTGGAACAAACTGAGTTGGTGTGAACTGATCAGATTTGGTGGGATTGATAGATTCACACTTATTATCTGCACAAGTTATTTTTAACTGGTCTGCATGTCTACGGACAATAAGTCCATCATTTGTTTTTACTTTATAAGACACAGGTCCTGTACATTGAACCATTTGACCTGGTATCCATTTTTCCTTTCTCCCATAATTTCTTAGATACACATTATCATTAACACCAAATTCTCTTTCAATGCATGTTTTGTCATGATTTAATGGAACTATTTTTGAATTGGCATCTGGAAGTATTATGCTATTATTCAGATCCTTGACTGACATAGATTTCTTTGATTGATCAATTTTCTCAGGTAATCTGATAGTGCTTTTTAGTAACCAAAAATACTGTTTAAAAGTAATATCCTGGACCATATCACTTTGCAACTGTGATCCAGTATTTGAAGTGGGTGTATTAAATGGCAAAAATCTTTTTTTTTTCTTTTGATGTTACCCTTTTAGTTTCTGTAAGTGCTAATGATGTTAGCAAAGTTGTTTGATGATCACATTCCTTCTTATTAATGTATTCTCTTTAAAAGCATTTGAAATTGCCATATCACCATAATCATTTATTAAGTTACAAATACTTTGTTTAGGTAACTCTGACTAATAATGGACTGCATCTTCTCCATCTTTTAAACTTAATTCCATTTTTCTTATTTTACATGGCCTTAAGTCATCATTCACTGACTCTTCAGGCCAACCATTCTTACAGTACTCATATACTTTTATTAAGCACTCATCTTTTTGTGTTTCTCTTTTAATATCATTCACATTTATATTGGAGTTATCCACGATAGTGAAGAGAACAAATACATCTTCTGGTACATAACTAAGGCTTTGGTTTTTTAAAGGTAATCTACTAAGACTATCTGCACTATTCTCAGATCCAGGTTTGTATTTCAATTCATAATTGTATGCAGTTAGTGTGATAGCCCATCTTTGAATTCTTGGTGAGGCATGCTCAGGTAGGGTTTTGTTTTCTCCAAACAAGCCCAGCAATGGCTTATGATCTGTAAAGATGGTGAACTTCCTACCAAACAGAAACTTATGAAATTTCTTAACACCAAAAATGATGCCTAAGCCTTCCCTATCTAACTGAGAATAATTTTTCTCAGCCTGGTTCAAAGATCTACTGGCAAAAGCAATGGGTCTGTCACCCTTTTCATCCATGTGGGACAAGACTGCACCTACACCATCTGGTGAAGCATCACATGTTAATATAAGTCTTTTCCCTGGGTCATAGTGAATTAGTAAGGTGTCAGAAGACAAAGCTTCTTTTGCTGTATTAAAAGCAGCTTCTTGTTGTTTACCCCAGTGCCAAGTTGCATTTTTCTGCAGCAGCTTGTACAGTGGTGATAGTTTACCAGACAGATTTCCTATGAACTTTGCATAGTAATTTATCAAGCCCAAAAAAGCTCTTAGTTGTTGGGTATTTTCAGGTTTGGGTGCTTCTTTAATGGCTTTTGTTTTCTCAGGTTGAGGTCTGATGCCTTGCTTGCTTAATATATAACCAAGAAAACTAATTTCTGTCAGCATGAATTGACATTTATCTTTGTTTATCTTTAAACCTTTTTCACCAACTATTTTCAAGACTTTATCAAGTGTTTTAAGATGTTCAGTGTCATTCTTACCAGTTATGTACACATTGTCAAAGTACACACAAACATTTGGAATATCCTTAAAAATACTGTCAATGACAGCTTGGAAAATTCCAGGGCTGGATGATATACCAAAACATAGTCTTTCATATTGGTAGAGTCCTTTATGTGTGTTTATTGTCGTATAGACTTTTGAATCTGGATGCAGTTCTAGTTGAGTGTAAGCATGACTAAAGTCTAATTCAGTGAATTTGTCTCCTCCTGCCAAATTCAAAGAAATTTCCTCAATGTTAGGAATAGGGTACCTATTTAGCTCTATTTGCTTATTCAGTGTAGCTTTATAGTCTCCACAAATTCTTACAGAACCATCCTTCTTTAACACTGGCACAATGGGCGTTGCCCAATCGGAATAGTCTACCTTCTTTATGATGCCATTAGATTCCAATCTACTTAGCTCATTTTCAATTTTATTCCTCATTGCATAAGGTGGAACTCTAGCTTTGCAGTATCTTGGATTTGTGTCTTTAATGCTTAACTTCACTGTTCTATCATTTAGTAATCCAGGATTACCAAAAACACATTTATTTTCAGATATAACTTTATCTATTGAAGTAAGACTAGATTCTCTTGCATTGTTCAATGAACATATACTCTCCCAATTTAACTTAAGATCAACTAACCAGTTCCTACCTAGGATTGGTGGTCCATTTCCTTCAACCACAAGAAGAGGAAGTTTAACACTTTGACCATTATAACTTACATGAACCATACACTCTCCTATTACCGGAACATTGTCACCAGTGTATGTTGTTAGACACTTGTGACATGGTTGTAGAGGCACTGATCCTCCTGTGACAGCGTCAAAGTCCTTCTTTGTGATGACTGTTAGAGATGCTCCAGTGTCAAGTTGGAAGCTGATGCTCTTACCGTTGATATTAACTGGTACATTGATGGGAGCATGACTTATTGATTTCACAGAGAACAGGTTGAAATCCGGCTGCAAATCAGTTTGAGCATTTTCACAGGTAGAGTGGTTCATTGGTTGGGTTAGGTAGTCTTGGTGAGAGTTAACATAGTGCTGCCTTTGGTTGCGGTACTGTCTTGACTGGCTAGATTTAGCAACAGACGAAGACTTTGCAAAGCAGGCCTTGGCAATGTGACCTTGATTACTGCACTTATAACAAGTTGCAGACTTGAACTTGCATCGATGAGATGCATGGGGACCTTTGCATCGATGACATTTTTGATAATTATTACTAGATTTAGATCTAGGCTTTGAACGCGCAGGCTGTTTAGCATAAGTTGGAATGCTCTGATGGGGTTGGTGTTTGTTGACTAACCTGCTGTTTACTGCATGGATCTCTGAAGGTGCTAGAGATCTCGCCGCATCGGATGACTGCTGGAATGAAGTTGCAAGTTGTATTGCTTTTTCTAATGTTAGATTTGACTCGAGCAGCAACTTTCTTTGAACATCAGGGCTGTTTACACCTGTCACAAACTTTTCACATAGTCTGTCAGACAGCGTGTCTCCGAATTCACAGAATCTACTTAAATGACGTAAAGCAGCAACATATTCTGATATTGACTCGTTTGGTTGACGAGTCCTACCGTCAAATCTAGCTCTACATAGAAACTTTGATGGGGTAGGCGCATGGTGGTCTGTTAGCAATTTGCTCAGCTCGTTAAAGCTCTTGGTAGTTAGACTAGCTGGTGCGCATAAGTCCTTTAGTAGCCTAAATTGTTGAGGCCCTATGACTGTTAACAAAACAGCTCTCTTTTTGGCTTCTATCGTCACGTCGTTTGCTTCAAGGTAAAAGCTTAACCTATCTAGATAATCATGAATGATTTCATCATTCGAATCAAATTCTTTTATTTGGCCATACAGCGCCATTATTCTAGAAATACTTAGCCAATATGCTCTAGCAAACCTCTTTTTCAGTAAGTAGGTGCTCTTTCTAGTGGATTATTTATCCTCGTCGCCAATTGAGGTGGATTGGAGTGGTTCTATTATAACACACTGACGAGAAGCCATGCTGTTTGTATATAGATTTTATTGGGCCTTCGGCTACATGATGGAAGACCGGAACAGGAAGTAACAATAGATAAATACAAGGGACATCACTCAATAACAACATTATAAATATAACTAATACAAGAAGAGTGAGTTCCCCTAACCTCACAAATCCCAATATATTACAGTATTGGATGTGACATTTGTTGTGGTGTTGTCGTGGTCGTAGTGGGGGTAATAAGTCGTGTTACGTTCAGCTGTTCATTCGTAATGCGGGAACCTGCAAAGTGTTGTTAAGGGTCAATTTTAAGATCTCGATATGGTTAATGTAATTACCAGGTAGTAGATAATTTCCCCAAAGTGTAGTGTCATTTTTTTATTTAACACAATCTATTAGTTATTGTGAACAATATTATAAACTTTTATTTAATTCACAATATATTTTTGTTTGTTTGCTTTTGTGGGTTTGTAAGAATTCTTGTAATTTCATGTAACCAATTTTTAATGCAGATAATTCGTTCAATCTTCCCAGACACAATCATCTCCTACGACAGTGCAAGAATAGGTCATTTCCAATCAGTGTTTCTTCCAGACTTTTTTCTCCGGGGGGGGGGGGGCACTTGAAATTTTCGGGGGGCGGTAAACTTTCTTCGGGGGGGGGCGGACACTGTTAAAAGTATATATTTTCTATATAAATTATATAAATTTCATTCCGTTCGGGGGGGGGGGGGGGCGGTAAAAAAATTTCGGGGGGGGGGGGGGGGGGGTTCGCCCCCCCCCCCCCCCCCCCCCCAAGAGATGCATGGAAGAAACTCTGTTTCAAATCTAATTAAACATCAGACCAGTCATAAAATTTATTAAATGAGAGTCGACCGCAAGCAATTGATCAGGTTTTGCAGTAAATATGTTTAGTCGTAGGTGTTGTTGACTTCATCATGAACAAATTACTAAAAAGTAGAAAATAAAATAAATAAAAAATTATTATAACAATAAGCTTTTAAAAGCACTGAAAAAAAAGAGACGAAAATGCATGCATCGGTTTCTCTTGAAATATCTTAAACATTTTAGCAACAATAGCTTTTATTAAAGAAAGCAAGTTTATTTTCACATACTTATTTTTATTGCATTGAATTTTAAAAGCTTATTATTCTACATGTTCTTTTTATATTTGTTTTATATTTGTTTTATATTTGTTTTATATTTGTTTTATATTTGTTTTATATTTGTTTTATATTTGTTTTATATTTGTTTTATATTTGTTTTATATTTGTTTTATATTTGTTTTATATTTGTTTTATATTTGTTTTATATTTGTTTTATATTTGTTTTATATTTGTTTTATATTTGTTTTATATTTGTTTTATATTTGTTTTATATTTGTTTTATATTTGTTTTATATTTGTTTTATATTTGTTTTATATTTGTTTTATATTTGTTTTATATTTGTTTTATATTTGTTTTATATTTGTTTTATATTTGTTTTATATTTATTTTATATTTGTTTTATATTTGTTTTATATTTGTTTTATATTTGTTTTATATTTGTTTTATATTTGTTTTATATTTGTTTTATATTTGTTTTATATTTGTTTTATATTTGTTTTATATGTGTTCTATATTTGTTTTATTTTTAATTTAGTGTTGCGGCGTGGGTGTCAAGAGTGTGTACATAATTTTATGGTCCTCCCTGTCGTGGTATGGTGTTTTGCAAGCGGCAAGCACAGACACCTCTATTGTTAACATATTTGACAGTTCGTGGAGGGCACTTGTAATTTGCACATGGGTCGTTTGCTGAAGATGTTGTCGATGTGGTGTTCGGTGCGGCGGCTGATGGTGTCGCCTGCGCGTTTGTAACAACTTGCTGTAGCGAGGGGATGCTGCCGCCGGCGTTGATGTACATTCTGTCAGTAACGTCACACCTGTTTATCGAACAGCAAATTTAAATTAGTTGGCGCATTAAAAAAATATCAAACAGAAAACACGAAAACAAATCGGGGCTAAATCATTGCCCCATACCCCTTAAAAATTAAATTAACACTGCCTCTCCCCAATCAGTTATCCCCATGTCAACTAGCCCCTGTCAGTTACAACTTGGAGTAATCTAAACTCTAAAGCTAACACTATCACTATAATCATCCCTATCGCAATCGTTATTGCTATTCTTATCTCTACATCTAACCGTAGTCAAAACAACAACCATAACCATAATGATTACAATTAACATAACGATAGCTATCACTATAATTGGAACCATAAAAAAACAACATAAAATAATAGAAACAATAACCATAACAATAATATTTACCACAACAATAATGATTGTTGTCTGAGGCGTAGTGAGGAGGGGGGGGGGGGAGAAGGGGGGAGGGAGGGGGGTGCGAACCGCACCGGGTGACACCATTTAGGGGGTGACACCAATGGCAAAAAAATAGCAATATATATATATATATATATATATATATATATATATATATATATATATATATATATATATATATATATATATATATATATATATATATATATATATATATAAAATGATAATTCCACTTAGTTAAGTATTTAATTAGAGTGTTAAATAGTGTTTTAAGAGCAAATTTGACAAATCCCGACAATGGTGGATGTGAGGGAGGTGGGGGGCGGGGGGGGGGGGGCACCATGACTTAAATCCTTTTAATGATAGAGAAAAGATATTACATCAAGCTCTATATATATATATATATATATATATATATATATATATATATATATATATATATATATATATATACAATTTTTTACGGGGGGGGGGGGGTGACACCATTAAGTCCGCACCGGGTAACACCCGACCTCGCTACGCCACTGATTACCATAACAATAATCATCACCATAACCGTAACCCCATAACCGTAACCATACACATGCATATGTACATGTACATACGAATACACATAGGTACCTTTGTCTTTTCCTACTACTATTGTTATTTATATTTCTATCCCTATCACAAACACGAACCCTAAGCCTAAGCCTATTCCACACACTTTCCATATATCCTAATAAACGAGGAGTGTATTCGGCTAAGAGGTGTGGGGGGGGGGGGGGGGTAATGTATACGGGTGATTTACAAGGTGTAATGACAGGACCTGTGGCAAATTTTAAAACAACAGCTGATAGAGAAAGATATTAAGGCCCGTAAATGGGGATGGATCGGACACACGTTAAGAAAAGAAAAAGAAAACATCGCAAAACATGCATTGGACTGGAATCCCCAGGGGAAAAGGAGGGTGGGCCGGCCAAGGAAAACATGGAAGAGAACGGTTGAGGAGGAGGCGAAAACAGCTGGGCTCTCATGGGCACAGATTAGAGGAGCAGCCCAAAACCGAGTCCGCTGGAGATGTGTGGTTGCAACCCTTTGCTCCCCAGGGGCCATAAAGGAGTGATGATGATGATGATGATGAATGACAGGAGGAGGGTAATGATCGGGATAAAAGATGGTGGGTTAATGTCCTGTTCCCCTAAAATCTACAGCTAAATAGTACTACATAAATGTGTGTTTTTAATACAATGACAACTCACTGGCATGTGTTGTTATTCAGAACCAGACGACAGGGTGTGGCCTGACCCGCTGGGCAGCAGTTGACTGGACCACAATTACAGCTGCAATTCTCCGGGTCAAAAACCAATGGTGGCAGACATCTGCGGACCTCCAAGCAGTCGCAGCTGCAGCTTCTTGCGTTAAACGACTTGCCGGGGCCGCACTTTTCCGCGTCCAGCATACACTGGACTCTGCAGGTCAGGTGACGCTCGATGACGATATTGATGTACCCTGGGTTGATTAACTGACCACTGCCATCCGTTGGGTATTCCCCGCTCAACGCCTTAGAAAGGGATGAAGATTACATACACGAAATTGATTATTCTTAGATTTGAAAGCAATTTTTATTGGATCCTTTTAACCAATTAGGCTGTCAAACTAACCAAGGCAAGTCTGTGTGTGTGTGTGTGTGTGTGTGTGTGTGTGTGTGTGTGTGTGTGTGTGTGTGTGTGTGTGTGTGTGTGTGTGTGTGTGTGTGTGTGTGTGTTAGAATTTAGGCAGTTGTTCCAAGACGACTTGTTTTAAAAAGTTACATTTTAGATATTGAACACAACCTTAAACTGAAATTATATTATTGATGTGCATTTTTTTTAACTTTGACAATCAATCATCATACCCCGGAAAGTATATTTCTAATATATTGATAATTCTACTGTGTCGGCGATGTCCAAGATTCTATATGAATCAAACTATTACACGTTCAACCGAACAATACGTTTAAATAAAACATGGCTTGTTGTTGTTAACGGTGGCATTAAATTTTATCCTGTTGTATTAAAATTATTATGAGCGTTTTTCTAATCGTGACATGTCGAGGCTAGTACAAACCAAAGTGTGACCCTGCAAAAACAAAACAAAACAAAAACAACAACAAAAACAAAACAAAATCAACGTATTAACTGGACAATCACTTTGAGCTCTTTTTTACAGGTCAGTTTTGAAGTGCTTATCAGCACTGAATCGATCAATGCTACTTCACAATCAGCCACTGAAACAACACAAGAACACGATAACATCCACAGCTGTGCAACAGCTGGCACATTAGAGGGTAGCCTGGAGCTTTTCGAAGCTGAATCTACATCGCAAGACTGTAAACATCTTATTTTAACCGGAAGTGGTACTTTATTTCCGTGCGAACACGATACCTCACTACTGTTTTAGTTAATGAGTCGAAATTTCATATATATAAGTATAAGATATTATACTTAGATTATAAGAAATGTTTTAGTGATCTCTAGGTGGTACTTTTTCCGGTTTCCAAAATACCGATAACTTGAGTACCGTTTCTATTAGGTGGCTGAAATTTTATAAGTTGGTTTAAGATCTTTTTTTTTTTTTTTTGTTAAATATTCAGTGATTTCTGGTAATTGGAAGGGAATATTACTTTTTATTTAAAAATTTAAGTATTAAAAATGTATAGCAAAATTAACAGTTCTAAAAAAAAATTATAGAAAACTATTCTATAGCACGGTTGCACATATTAGAATATACAAGCTTATGGGCGATCATTTTGTATAAGATAGTAGATCTATACATTGTAACGATTAGCAGTGGTTACAGATATGTCGCTTATTCTTTACAAAAAAAAAGAGTTTTCTAAACATTAGATACTTTTCTGGATTTCTAATTTCTTCATATTTGAGAAATTCCTAAGTATCAAATCACTAATTAATTTGTACATTAAAATCTTGACTTAAACATAATGGAAATTTCCTCACCTTGTAGCTGGACCGCTCTATAGCCGTTGGGACACACGCCACGTTGGGCGAGGTCGTACAGCCCCCACACCGTTCTACCAGGGTACACACGGGAAAGAACACAACCCTCGGGTTGTCTGTGGGGTACTCAATTTTTACGCTGGTTGGTCGTGGGGAGCAGACATCAGACTTTGCCATTTCTCCACCTCCAGCTGTGGAAAAAATACGATCAATTGTTTCGTGCGATAAGATAAAGTTTTAAGTCGTAATAGATTTGGGTTTTTATTTTTTTTAGGAATTAGAAAATATGGTTTCACAACAGATTATTGCGAATCTCCTCCACCTTTCTCAAATATTTTAAGATTTAACTTTTTTTTCCCCCGCTAAAATAGAAACTATATTTTTTTTAAAAACAGCTCAGAATAGGTCCTAAGGTCCACCTTCAAGCAGGACGATGATATTAGCGAAGTTTACTGTATTATGAAGATCACGTTTGTTAATGCTGCTACAACCCATTTTATTCAACGGGAACTAGCTTTAGCCTTTAGCAAGCTCATGGGCAGGGATAGCTTAAAACAAAACGAGCTTCGGCTACTTAAAAAGTGCAAGCATTGAACAGTATGGTCATAAACTTAAGCTTAATTAATACCCAGGTTTGTTTAAGGTAAACTCAACATGCTTTTTAAAGAAATCATGTTCGCCTTTGGGAGAAATAAAAAAACAACTTAGATAATTCGATTTTATTTCACCTTCATGTTGTCTACACATTTTCTATAATAGCGTTACTTACCTGAAATAACGGTCTTTCCGGTTCGGTTATCATGATGTACTGACACCAGAAAAAATAAAACATAAGTAAGTTATTTTTAAAAACAAAACAACAGGGATTTGTCCTACTTTTACATAAAAATAAAACTTGATTCTTTTTAATTTCTTGCAGTTATCCCATATAATGGTATATTTTAATTTTATAATTCTTTTTTTTAAACCATTCGCAGGAAGACAAGGTTAAACACAGTGGAACCAATTCCACGTGAAAATGTGAGGTCGGTGCGTTGAATTATTAACCAAAAATAACACTCTATTATAATAGTAATCCAATCCACTATTTTTGGTTGAAGCACGGACGAACCTTCAAACAGTCTTGACCAAAACAAAACACAACATACCACCCTGATCAAATTTAAAACAAGACGTACTATCCTGATCAAACCCAAAACATAACATACAATCCTGATAAAACCCAAAACACAACATACAATCCTGATCAAACCCAAAACACAACATACAATCCTGATCAAACCCAAAACACAACATACAATCCTGATCAAACCCAAAACACAACATACCATCCTGAGCAAACCCAAAACACAACATACATTCTTGATCAAACCCAAAACACAACATACCCCCGTGTAAACTTAAAACAAGTAATACAATACTGGCCATACATTCTCCACAAAAACGCAACTTACAGCCTTGCGGTCTAGAGTCAGGTTCGAAAAGCTGCAGGAAACCTTCTAATGTGTCGGCAGTTGCATAGGTGTTGTTGTTGTTATCGTGCTGTTGTGTTGTGTCAGTGGCTGGTTGTGAAGTAGCATCGATCGATTCTGTGCCGGTAATCACGTGACAACTCACCTGTAGAAAAGAGCTCAAAGTGATTGTCTAGTTAATACCTTTTTTTTGTTGTTGCTTTTGTCTTTTGTTTTTTAGCAACGTTACACTTTGGCTTGTACTAGCCTCGACATGTCACGATTAGCACACAATAATTTTAATACAACAGGATAAAATTTAATGCCACCATTAACAGCAACAAGCAGAGGCGTAGCGAGGGGGGGCGGGGGATTCGGATTGCACCGGGTGACACCATTTAGGGGGGTGACACCAAGGCAAAAAATAGCAAAATATATAGGGAAAAATTTGAGGGGGGGGGGTGCTAATCGAAAGTTTGAGGGTGGGGGGTGCAAATCAAAAGTTTGAGGGGGGGGGGGTGCAAATCAAATGTTTGAGGGGGTGCAAATCAAAAGTTTGATGGAGGGGGTGCAAATCGAAAATTTGAGTTTGTCCCCGTGAAGAGTCGCTACGCCTCTGGGAGGGGGGGGGGGGTGACGCCATTACGTGCCGCACCGGGTGACTCCCGATCTCGCTACGCCACTGGCAACAAGCCATGTTTTATTGTAACATTTTGTTCGGTTTAACCAACATTGACTGTTTATGATATTACGCGGTTTCAAAGTGTGATAGTTTGATACGTATAGAAACTTGGACATTGCCGGTAAAGTAGAATTATCAATATTAGTGGTATACTTTCCGGGGGATAATGATTGTATGTCAAAGAGGGGGGAAATGGAATAATTAAAGGTTTGATTACAATGAACCGCCAAATATCTATAATTTGTAATTTCTAAAAGAAGACGTCTTGTAATAACTCCCTAAGCACACAAGGAATGCTACCGCAAAGAAGACTTGACTTGGCCATATATATGACACTATCATGCCTGACTGTGCCATCTGCTATAAAGAACTACGGTACCAGAAACAAGAGAAGTGCCCTTGCTGAAGTACAGAGGTATTTGCAAAAGGAACTGAGACCAAAACCATAAATGAAATATACACCAAACACGTGGGACCAGTTGGCTTAAGAAATAAAAATTGTGGACACAGGCTGTGAGGACTGACTCTCACATAACTGAAGGCAAGAGTCGGGTTCGATAGGGGAAGGAAGAGAAATTTGGCAAGCATTATGGCAGAGACGCAATCTCAATATATATATATATATATATATATATATATATATATATATATATATATATATATATATATATATATATACTAGACCACCCGTTATCCTATGGATAACTATGTGTTTTAGTAGTCATTCATAAATGACACTACACTTGTTTGACGATTTTTATGTTTCCCTTCCCACCGTCACAAAAAGCAGAACCACCACATCTAAAAAGGACCTCAAATCCAGATCAATGTTTTTGTTTCTTAAAATTACGTATTTCGACTGAGCTTTGTGCTGGCTACACCATCTCTTTATATGCTGAGGTCACCTGCATTGTGTCCTGCGAGGTCCCAAAAGTAATATTACTTCACATCTAAAATTAAGTCACACCTCAATTTAAAAGTTTTTTGTCTTTTAAAAGCACCGTTGTCTTTCGATAATATTTTCTGAGCTCGAACCTTGTATGAATAAAAAAATTTACTAAAGCTAACATTAAAATAATAAAAATAAATTTGAACTATTCGCGTACGTTGAGATTTCCCAAATGAGCACTTCTTATGTGAGGAAATTAGACAAAATAATTAACGTTGATTGCATTTGTTCAGTACCCATGCCGCTTGACAGGTTTGCTAGCACGCTGTGATGAAGTCATAATAATTATATCTTTTGGTGACAATATTTAGTATTATTTTATATACTCTCCGTAGAAAGTTTGAAGCTAGGCCATTCTTAAACTCAAAGTAAAATTACGCCAAATATTATCGTAAAATAAACTATATTACATCCTAATTCAACCTATTTCCTTTCTAAGAAACAAAGACGTATATGCAATATTTAAGGCCTACCATTGTTCAGTAAAGAAACTCAATAATTAATTGTGCTTTTAAAACGTCTTTGTTTTTAACTAATACATTTTAATTTGACATATTTTTATCCGACAACGCTTGGTTCTAGAAGCATCAGGAAATTAACTGTTCATACTCTCCAATTAGAAGGTCTGTTGAGCGTATCCTAATGAAAATTGATAATATTGATGGAACCTAAGATAAATACCAAACAGATATATCATTAAAGCTATTACCGACAGATTATAATGTTTATATTTTTCAATCGGTAACTATTTTGTTCATAGGACAGCATTTTATTTTGCTCTGAAACGAAATAAAGTCATAATTCATCGTTTGTATGATTAAATGTATATATTTGTTTAAATTTTATTAAAGTCTGAAAATAAATGTTTGTTGATATATTCATTTTGAAGAGAATAATTGTTTTTATATATTTATATATTTCAAAATTAGACTGTTGCAGATTTTCTGATCTTTTGACAGTGAAATATATAGGCTATATATATATATATATATATATATATATATATATATATATATATATATATATATATGGGTGTGTGTAATAACAAAGTGTAATAAATTATAACTAGAAAGACTTATAATTTATACCTTACCATTGTACAGACAAATCCTGAAAAAACAATTCGCCAAATTCTTCTTGTTACATGCATTATTGCGAAAAGCTTTTCTCGGCCTCTGGAGAAAGCAAATTTTCTAAACACAAACCATTTATAAACTACCCTTAAATCACCATAGTATATTGAAATTTCAGTGTTTACAACGCTTTAAACTAAGTTAACCTCAAACCATAGCGGTAAATAAAATCGAGGCTAAATGAACGAACCCTATGTGAACTACTTCTACCGTCTGCTTGCCTTGGGTATCGACTACTTACTGTGACATGCGCAGAGCAGGAAAAACTTCATGAGGCAACACAACGTCACTATCTCACATAAAGTGTAAAAAAATCGAAATCGAGATATTTCGACAATTATCGACGTTTTAAACTTACCTCAGTGTATGTGGATGTGTGTATACGTGCGTGTGTGTGTCTGTATGTGTTTCTACGTTTTTAAACACGCTAACCTGAATGGACGAGTGGACGAAATAAGAATAGGTATTATATGTAAGTTTTGTTTTTAAGAGATTAGAACGATTTTTGTTAAACGACAGTGGTATTTTATTGTCGATTCCTCAAAAAGCTCAAGAATGTGTTTATTTTAAACATTTCTCACAAAGCAACATATTCAAAGAACTCTTGCCTCTATGTGTTTTCTTTAAAACAAAAAACGAGTTTTTGACATAAGCTTTTTTGTCACAAGCCTCCACCGGAAGCGCAAAAATACGAATGTGATCAATTATTTTACAAAAATATCTCAAGATGGAAAAGTAGGTTTAATTTTCTTATTTTAGTAACTTAAGATAAAAATCAATAGTTCAAAATCAATACAAGCAGTTGGTAAACTTCTAAACTTCTAATATAATCTCACATATCAGATTTTTAAATACACGTTGAGAATAAGCATAAAACTTTAACATGTCTCTATTTATAAGATGAAATAAAACATTATAAACTTTATAACTAAAGTGGTTAGCATAAAACTGACAGATTTTGCTGTTAGTTAGACAATATCCCGTAGTAACAGCTATTTCATAAATATTTCCCAATCAAACATTATGTGGTTCGTTGTTCTTTGAGGTGGTGCAAAGGTTTCCGGATTTGTATTGGCAGTTGATGTGGTGAATAGGATTTTTCTGAAAATGTTAAATGAAATAACATGATAAATATCTGGGTATTATTTTCTGAAACTACGCCATAGCCTAACCCTGAGTCACGAACGGGACCTTAGGTTTGAGCAAACTATCCCATATGTAAAACACCCATTTTGTATTTTTAGACCGCTTGTTGTTAAATGTTCGGGTCGTGAATCCATCGCCACGCGCAAGACCGACATAGAAAGTACGTAACTGACAGCTGCTAATTGTAAGCACGTGCTAAATTGAAAGAGTATAGAGGGGCTGGATGGGTCATTGGGTTTCTGAAACCGAACTCAAATAAACCGGGAGTGATTTCCCCTAAACTTTCTCGAATATTCTTATCTAACACAACGGGAGATGGCACATCACGAAATAGACATGATTTTTAATCCATGTTTAATTACTTAAACTTTTTAAAATTAAATAAAATCTCGTAGAAAAAAGTACTCAAAAGTACTCAAGTTATAGGCTTTTGAAAAATTCAAAGTAGAAAAAGTTCCACTTAAGGAAATCGCTCAAAAGTTGATACGGATCTAAGATTTTGATATAATAATATTATATGAAATTTCATCAACTTTTGAGCGATTTCCGATAACCGGAAGTGGGACTTTTTCTACTTTGAATTTTTCCAAAGCCTATAACTAGAGTATTTTTCAGATAGATAATGAAAGATCTGATTTTCTAACCTCTGTCAAATTTTGAGTAATCTCCGTTTAACGAAAGTAGTAATTTTTGCTATTTCAGATTTATAAAAAAAACGCATGTGAATTTATAAAGCACTAATAATATTCCGCACTATTATGCACATTTTATTTGGCGTTCACTTGGTGTACAATTCTTTTTTTTACTTTCTCGTATATACGAAGTATAGAGAAAGTCTTGAAATCAGTCAAAAGAAATATCGCGATTCTTGCAAATCTCGATGTTTTACAGCTCCCGAGTCGGAAAAAACATAGTTTTGCAATCTTGTCCATATGTCTGTGTGTGTGTCTATGTGTGTCTCTGTGTGTGTCTGTGTCTGTGTGTGTCTGTGTGTCTGTAAACACGATAACTTGAGTACCGTTACAGCTAGGTTGATGAAAATTCATATATAAGTATTATATCAAAATCATAGATCCGTTTCAACTTTTGAGAGATTTCAGATAACCGTAGAAAAAAAGAATTGCACACCAAGTGAACGCAAAACAAAATGTGTATAATAGTTCGAAATATTATTAATAGTTTATAAATTCACATGCGTTTTTTGAGAAATCGGAAATAGCGTAAATTACTACTTACGGTCAATGGAAATTACTAAAAAATTGACAGAAGACAGAGATTTAAATCTTTCACTTGCATGTCAAATTTTATTTATTTATCAGAAACAGTACTCAAGTTATAGGCTTATGAAAAATTGAAAGTAGAATAAGTTCCATTTCCGGCTACTGGAAATCGCTGAAAAGTTGATGCAGAACTACTAATTTGATATAATACTTATATATGAAATTTCATCACCTGGCTGTAACGGTATTCAAGTTATCGTGTTCACAGACACACATACACACACTCACATACACACACAGACCTACGGAAAAAATTGTAAAACTATGTTTTTCCGACTCATGGAGGTGTAAAACGTCGAGATTTGTGAAAATCTCGATGTCGATTTTTACTTTCTCGCATACGAAGTATAGAGGAAGTATCAGTGGCGGATTAAGGGGGGTGCTGAGAGGGCTGCAGCCAGGGGCCCCCGATTTTTAGTGGCCCCCAAATGATAGTAGATTTCCCTTTAAAGCTAAATTGTTTTTTTTTTTTGTTTTTTTTTAATTATAAAAGCCAATGTATTAATATTCGAGAACACACTTTAGTTTAAATAGCGGTCGAGTTCTGACACATGAGTCTATGATTGACGCCTTTTGAAAAATGCTCAGCACTGAAAGTAATTTAGTCAGATAGCGTCAGATTGTGTAGCGAGGTGGTAACAAACATTAAAATAATACAAATGTTAGGCATAGGGTCTACATGCTGAATTAGGTCTCACTCGCAAGCCTCCAGACAAGCAACATTATTGACCAGCCTTAGCAATCAATGAAAAACTGCCTGGCAGTTTTTGCATACCCATACACTACTAAGAAATGTATGAAAGATGCTTTACATTTTTGTCATTAGAAATGATGTTTTGGGTATAATTTTTTTGTTAGTTACAGGATATCCAGATCTAGTTATTTGGATTAAAACTCCTTAGATTAATATCTTAGTTGCCCATCAGGACCTAGTGAGCATAGGGAATATTAGGTAGAGTTCACATATTTAGTTGTTCTCAGAAAATGAGACATTCTGATCAGTTCTAGATTTATGCCCAGCTTCCTTTAGTAGTTTTAAAATTTGAGATTGATCTAGGTACCCATCTGTGTTTGGTGTTCTTGGATATGAACCTGGGCTTAGAGCTCAGGACTTTTGGGTCAGGAGTCGTGCATTCTACGCCCTATTATAAACTCGAAACTTTTAATTTAAAAAAAAAAAAAAAATATGCCACAAACAGTTAAGCCTAATTAATTAGCTTGTAATTTCGTTGGCGTCAAGACAGATTTATCGTAAGAATATAAGAAATCATCAACTTATGGATCTAAAACTTAAGACAATTGTGGAAAAGTGCGGACGGCGTATAGGTGGAGGTGGGGAGGGCTATGTAGACATCACAATCATTGAATTATACTCTGTATTGTTTATAACAAAAACAAAACTGCGTAAACAATGTAAGCCTAAAAACAAATACGGCAGTACCCGTGTTATTTAACCCTACTCAACGGGCAGTTATGTCGCGGCAAACCTATTTAGGCCCTATAATAAGGTAACCGACATTTAGGCCTAAATTAGGCCTAGACAGAAACAGGCCAGGGATGGCGTTCTTTAAAGGGCGACTGTGGAAATTCAACTTTCTTGTATGCCTTAAAATGGATGACACCTAAGAGGTTGGAGGTATGGTTTTTTGACGCTTATGCTGTGTTTACTAGTTTTATTTTGGGCCTAGTTTAACCTCTGTATGTTATTAATAATTTCTTACATAGAGTGGTTTGAAATTCTCTTTTTTCTTTTCGCGTCTGCATGCAAACAAGTGCCGAAGTCTTTATCGTCTGTTCTTTAACGACATTATAATATTCTCACGGATATTTATATTTGTTCAATGTTAGTGTGCATTTCCAGCTTTCTCACGCCCAATATAAATTTGTGAATGACTGTTCACTAACTAGCGTGACACGGATATACCGGCTGAGTTTGACTCCCATTAGCCAGGGAGGTCAATTACTGGACTAAATCGGTCTCACGAAGGTGTTGGTTTGAAACACTACATGTTGGTCGCTTATTCATCCCTAGGCTCTATTCAGGCTTTACTTCCCTCACCACCAGCCGCGGGACGTCGTCCTCAGTGTTTCTTCCAGACTTTTTTCACCGGGGGGTGCACTTGGGGGGTGGGGGGGGGCGGACAACAATTTTCGGGGTTGGGGGAGGAGGGCGGACACTGTCAAAAGTATATATTTTCTATATAAATTCCATTTCGTTCGGGGGGGGGGGGGGGGGGGGGGAGGCGGTAGACTTCCTTCGCCTCCCCCCCCCCCCCCAGCCGAAGAGATGCCTGAAAGAAACTCTGAACATAATTGACTGCTTTTTAAATTAGCAGTTTTGTAAATATCGGTGTCAAATGTTCCTATAAGTTAAAACAATCCATGATTTTTTTAAAATAGTATATATATATATATATATATATATATATATATATATATATATATATATATATATATATATATATATATATATATATATATATATATATATATATATATATATATATCAGGGGCCCCCAAAAATTTTAAGCCTGGGGCCCCGCCCAAGCTTAATCCGCCCCTGGGAAGTATGGTAATCGTGCAGAAAATTGAAATCGAGATTTTCATGTATTAAGAAACTGCATCTGCCATACCCACGACATATCCTGATCTTCAAACTCAGTCAATAACCCACCGCCACACACTGAAGGTTCCTACATGACTGATAACAGGATGGACAACATTACGGACGACATGATAAATAATTTAACAGGCGAAACTTACGACGGCATGTTAGACTAAATGTTGGAGAAAGAAACTGAT